ATTATTGTTTATTAGTTATACACATGTGTAGCTGTGTGTGTATCACACATTTATTGTTTATTTAGTTATACACATGTGTTGCTGTGCGTGTATCACACATGTTTTGCTAATTTAGTTATACGCATGTGAAGCTGTGTGTATATCACACTTTTTTGTTAATTTAGTTATACACATGTGCAGCTGTGTGTATATCACACTTTTTTGTTAATTTAGTTATACAAATGTGTTGCTGTGCGTGTATCACACTTTTTTGTAAATTTAGTTATACACATGTGTAGATGTGTGTATATCACACTTTTTTGTTAATTTAGTTATACACATGTGCAGCTGTGTGTGTATCCCACATTTATTGTTTTTTTAGTTATACACATGTGTTGCTGTGTGTGTATAACACATTTATTGTTTATTTAGTTATGCACATGTGTTGCTGTGCGTGTATCACACATTTATTGTTTATTTAGTTATACACATGTGTTGCTGTGTGTGTATCACACATTTATTGTTTATTTAGTTATACACATGTGTTGCTGTGTGTGTATCACACATTTATTGTTTATTTAGTTATACACATGTGTTGCTGTGTGTGTATCACACATTTATTGTTTATTTAGTTATACACATGTGTTGCTGTGTGTGTATCACACATTTATTGTTTATTTAGTTATACACATGTGTTGCTGTGTGTGTATCACACATTTATTGTTTATTTAGTTATACACATGTGTTGCTGTGTGTGTATCACACATTTATTGTTTATTTAGTTATACACATGTGTTGCTGTGTGTGTATCACACATTTATTGTTTATTTAGTTATACACATGTGTTGCTGTGTGTGTATCACACATTTATTGTTTATTTAGTTATACACATGTGCAGCTGTGTGTGTATCCCACATTTATTGTTTATTTAGTTATACACATGTGCAGCTGTGTGTGTATCCCACATTTATTGTTTATTTAGTTATACACATGTGCAGCTGTGTGTGTATCCCACATTTATTGTTTATTTAGTTATACACATGTGCAGCTGTGTGTGTATCCCACATTTATTGTTTATTTAGTTATACACATGTGCAGCTGTGTGTGTATCCCACATTTATTGTTTATTTAGTTATACACATGTGCAGCTGTGTGTGTATCCCACATTTATTGTTTATTTAGTTATACACATGTGTAGCTGTGTGTGTATCACACATTTATTGTTTATTTAGTTATACACATGTGTTGCTGTGTGTGTATCACACATTTATTGTTTATTTAGTTATACACATGTGTAGCTGTGTGTGTATCACACATTTATTGTTTATTTAGTTATACACATGTGTAGCTGTGTGTGTATCACACATTTATTGTTTATTTAGTTATACACATGTGTAGCTGTGTGTGTATCACACATTTATTGTTTATTTAGTTATACACATGTGTAGCTGTGTGTGTATCACACATTTATTGTTTATTTAGTTATACACATGTGTAGCTGTGTGTGTATCACACATTTATTGTTTATTTAGTTATACACATGTGTAGCTGTGTGTGTATCACACATTTATTGTTTATTTAGTTATACACATGTGTAGCTGTGTGTGTATCACACATTTATTGTTTATTTAGTTATACAAATGTGTAGCTGTGTGTGTATCACACATGTTTTGCTAATTTAGTTATACACATGTGTTGCTGTGCGTGTATCACACATGTTTTGCTAATTTAGTTATACACATGTGCAGCTGTGTGTGTATCCCACATTTATTGTTTATTTAGTTATACACATGTGTAGCTGTGTGTGTATCACACATTTATTGTTTATTTAGTTATACAAATGTGTAGCTGTGTGTGTATCACACATGTTTTGCTAATTTAGTTATACACATGTGTTGCTGTGCGTGTATCACACATGTTTTGCTAATTTAGTTATACACATGTGTAGCTGTGTGTGTATCACACATGTTTTGCTAATTTAGTTATACACATGTGTTGCTGTGCGTGTATCACACATGTTTTGCTAATTTAGTTATACACATGTGCAGCTGTGTGTATATCACACTTTTTTTGTTAATTTAGTTATACACATGTGTTGCTGTGTGTGTATCACACATTTTTTGCTAATTTAGTTATACAAATGTGTAGCTGTGAACCAAAGAGTTACTGCCACTGCGATATATGATAAAGTACCGGAATATTTTAGATTATTTTTGTATGCTATACCTTGTCACAAAATCCATTGATCATTTGTTGAACAATTTTTTAATGAAATAGAAGTACGGGTATTAATAGAAGTGTGTAGACAGATGTTATTTTTCATGTTTTAATTTCTTTGAATAGAACACTGAATTTTATTAGGCACATGGCCTTGATCATTGACGTATCACCGGTAAAACGAGACATTTAAACTTTATTTCTATATACTACATGTAGTTTATGATTAACGGTCGTTTGTTAAATATAGCACGAGTACTTAGTGGTTATATCAATTGAATTGAATTGTTATAATTCAAAGAAATATAAAGAAAAACATTTAAATGTCCTCCTTTACGCTGATTAACATCTTATGCGTAAATTGGTTTTAAGCTACAAAAATTATCAAACAACAGACAACTATTTGACGTGTTAAACACAAATCAAACGGTCATCTTTATAAATTACATGTTTGTGTTACGTCGTCTAGCTGTATGTATTTACGTTGATGTTATGGTATACACAGCTGAAATGCATTCATCTATACGAGTCTAGATAATCACATGCAATTCGGACTGTCATCAACTTGTATAATTAACATTTTGTCTGGAACCGTTAGTAACTAACAAAAACAAATTATGTTTATTTTAATCTTTATGCATAATTACTTCCTGGTCACATGACAACAGGAATACACACATGAACGTATGTTTTAATATTACACAATATCAACAATATATTAAACAACGTAGTAAATTGTACATTAGGTTTAAAAATAGTACTGAAAACAAGTCATCTAAACTTTATCTGATCTTCAACAATGTCTTACATCGTCAATACGCGACACGTTTTTTCAAACAATGTAAAAATAAACCCCATTAACAATCAGCTAAATAAAAAATCTGTTTCTGCTTAACGTACATATAACGCACGACTTTAAAGATTCTAATCAACTTCATCTATCTGACTGTCAACTTAAACAACCTGTCCTATACTAAAGTCAGTTAGATCAATGATATCCCTGACTGTCAATTTGATCAATGGCATCCCTCTGACTGTCAATTTGATCAATGGCATCCCTCTGACTGTCAATTTCATCAACACCTTCCCTCCGACTGTGGACCTGACATTCGACATTTTTCTGACTGAGTTTTAGGTGGAGTCTAATGGTATCTGATGTGTTTTACACATTATGGCATTTTTTATCACCTTCCTGTATTTCTGTGGCAAAGCTACAAGCCATCCGTCGACGTATCATCGTTCTTACACTTACATATTCGATGCTAAAGACACCTTCTTTACACCCCTGTAACATGCAATATGTAACATTTTAGATTAGTCAGTTGTTAAAATATTTTTTCCATTTAGGTTTTTGTTAAATATATAAATGTATATAGGAAATACCTATACTTTTGTTAGGCTATTGTATATTGTAATTGATTTAATAAGTAACTGCTAAATGTGCAAGATAGCAAAAACAGTTCAAGTGTCTTTGCTTTTTCGTAATGTGAACAGCTCTCAAGTAGATTACCCCTACCCCTTACATAAATAAATAAACAAGTGTTATCTTATCGTTTTCTATGAGTGTAAATATAAGGGAACCATTTGTGAGTTGTGTGGGGTAATTTCCTCACAGATAAGACAAGAAACAATTACAAGTGTATCAATTGTGTCATAACGGCTCGTTTTTGAATGCCAATTCATATCTGTTAACAGGTCAGTTTTATCTTAGTATTAAACAAATCCCACTCGCTAAAACATTAACCTATCACGATGGTATCGGGATTAGGACCAGGATTCTGAAAGGGACGGATAAAGTGCGAGATAAACATATGTTTTGGTTTACATACGTCTAGTTATAATTTCATGGGAGAAAGATATCCGATTGTTTAGAATGTCAGAACAGTGTTATCATATTTTACGGTTTATAACTTAATAAAAAAAATCATTCTATACAATCAGTGTGGTTATCTTATGAGTCACATTAATGTGAAGTTTTTACGGCGACATTTTCTGTTTTTAAATAAACAACTTCTTGATTTATAACGATCCAATTTCTTCACGCATTTAAACAAGCGACAAACAGGACGTGGCCTCACACGTGCGATCCTGCGAATACTAAATGTCGTAAGTGGTCGTTTATTGCAGTGTGTTGACATTGTTCTTCTTTGCTTTATCAGTAAATAATATATATGTCCTTGGTTATATTCGATCTTTAACCTGAAGGTTTAAACGACATTTTTTAAATTAACTTATTACACCTGATTTACCAATATAAGAAGCATTAATGACAAATCACACAATGAAAACGGAATGATTGCATAATTCTCCATAATTAGATATGTACAATGAACATTTTTTAGAAGGTCGTTGATTATCAAGTTTTGAAACGACAGTGTGAAGTGGGTAACCCCATGCTATCAATCTCATAAGAGATCCTGCAGATACTTTATTTCAACCTGCTGGCCGTTTTTATGGTTAGACATGAGTATGTTGTTATTTTTATTATTTTTACGAACTTATCTATACGTGTTTATCTTTCTTATCAACCAATAAACAGCTTGAATCTTCGAAACTGTTGACGCATTGACACATTCCGTCCTTCAATACTTTCCTGTTCTGTATTAACTATGGTATATATTACCTTTCGACGCGCCCTGATGCTGTTATATAAATAAATGAGAAATTATGCCATTTAACGCTTCTCCGTTCCTGCAAGAAACATGACAAATCCTGCCTTTTAACGCCTCTTCGTTTCTCCTGTTAGAAACATTACACATCATGTCCTTTGACGCCTTCATCTTCCTTTATAAAAAAGGCCAAAATCATGCCCTTTGACACCTTTCCGTTCCTGTAAGAAACATGACAAATCGTGTCCTTCCGCCTCTCCGTTCCTTTAGGAAACATGACAAGTCATGCCATTTGACGCCTCTCCGATCCTGTAAAAAAACGATGATAAATCTTGGCCGTTTGACTCGTTTCCGTTCCTTTAAGAAGCATGGCAAGTCATGCTCTTTGACGCCTCTCCGTTCCTTTAAGAAACAGGACAAGTCATGCTCTTTGACGCCTCTCTGTTCCTGTAAGAAACATGACAAGTCATGCTCTTTGACGCCTCTTTGTTCCTGTAAGAAACATGACAAGTCATGCTCTTTGACGCCTCTCCGTTCCTTTAAGAAACATGGCAAGTCATGCTCTTTGACGCCTTTCCGTTCCTGTAAGAAACATGGCAAGTCATGTCCTTACGCATCTATCTCCGTTCCTCTTATTGTAAGTTTATATTAAATTTGATTAATTATGTCCTTGTGAATTGATGCTGTGTCAAATTGATAAGCTTTAATTTACCTTTTTATGATTTTTTTTCTTGAAATGAACACAAATTTAGGTTTAAGTTTGTGAATAATGATTGCAACTTATTTATTTTGCACATCAAATTACAATGATCTAAAGATACATGTATCATTGAATCGGATCGCGTGGTACGTTTACATGTACAATGTACGTCTAAACTATTTATGTATTTTCTATTTCGGTGTTAATCTTAACGTATACTTTTTCGTAACTGGGAACGTGTTTCTCATTGATGAGGTACTTTGAGCCATGATGTCATTTCGTCGCCACTGGATACTAATGAGTAACGAGCGTTTAATATTTTAATTCAAATTTAGTTTGTTTTCCTGGTACATGCAACGATGACAGCTACGCCCACCTGCAGTTGCTATATCTTGATTCAGTAATTAATGAGCCAGTCAAATTATATTCAACTTTGTTGACGCATTAAGTGTTCCTTACACTATCAGCAGTTGATTTTATCAGAAATACACCCTGGCATCTCCTGTATATACCATATTGTGATATAACTATATTATCTGATGATTTGACAAAGTGTTTACATTAACAAACCATCAGAGGACCCTGTGACGTGACACGAGACCATGCAGTGTTGCGACACGTCCTGCTACACAGATAAAGTTCTACTATCAAGTTATATTAATCATCACCGCCTTTAAAGAAAAACTAACTGTTTATAGACCACAATACGATTATCTTATCCGCTCATAGCGAGGGGACCAATGTTCCAGGACTTGCATCCTCCCTCCGGTAACACATGTATGGTGATGTCATACGTGTACGAAGGTCTACCTAGATAACGCGCCATTATTGTTTTATACTCTTTGATATTGATGATTTTCTGTCTATCAAAAATAGGTAGATACTGACATCACCAGTGTGTATATTATACACAATGAGGTTTAAATATAAATGACTATGCAACATAACGACCCATATATGGTATGTCTAGTTAACAAATAAAATTAATGATAGTAAAATAACGTTACGAACTGAATATTTTAAGTATATCCATGGTTTCCTATGATAGCTCTCAGAACACAGTACCGTAGATATTCAAAAGTTGCATTAAATACTACTATGGAGAACATGAATAGATCTAAATGATCATTTGATTATTTCGAAAGTATATCTGCCATTGTTATTTACAAAACGCCGTTTAAAATTGATGACATGTTTAATCCTTATGATCTTTAAAAATGGATTGGGTTATATTTTTTTTGATTGCAAAATCTAAGCCATGTTTAATACGTGTTAAATCATGACTGAAACCCCTATTGTCTACTTAGAAATTCATGTCATCTGTGCTGTGGGAGGTTGATTCGAAGACAAATTCGAGAAGAAGTATCGAAAATGAAAAATAGTATAATTCATACTCCGTGATAATGGTACTGTTATCACTCACATAAATAAATACAATACGTGTATACGATACCGTTTCCAAAATAATTGAAGCGTAAAACAATACCACCACTAAAACTCTCCCGCAAAATCGAGGAAATTTCCAAGGCTAAGTATTAACATTATATGATAAACGTTTATTTATTTTGTCAGATTTTTATCCAGCATTGTCATAACTCACTTTTCTTTATAAAACTAAATGAAAGTAAACAAGTATGAAATGTTTGAGTAAAGGAATATCATTCATTTTGTAAATATTTATCTTAACATCATTTCATATTTATTTATAGTTCTCTGTTGATTTTTTTTGTCCACTTTGATGTCAGAATTAGTTTACTATGTGGAACATTGCTTATTCAAACGCAAAGTCTTCTTGAATAAACAACAAAATAAGTGGTTTATGTTTGATATACCCGCACCTCTATCACTTGAATAATCAGAAATATAAGAAAACAGCACCTGTTAACTCCGATTATGAAATCGATGCTTCCAAGAATGACCACTCACCTCACTCAGTCAGGAAGAGAAATAAGAAAAGTCGATGATGCCCAATCTTCAGTGTTTGTTTGTTTACTGTAAAGTTATGTTTGTCTGAACTAGTAAGACATTGCCATAAACAATACGTGTAGAAGTGCTAGTTGGTCAAGTCGGTCATATAACATCCGTAATGTCTCTGTAAACGTGGAAGTGTATTCTACAAATCCTTCGAGGTTATTACGTACAAATAGAGTAAGACTAAATGTTCTTGGAATATTTGTAGTGTTTTAAATGTAATCGGAACGCTATTTGTTTTACTGTTGAATGACACCAGGCAAAAAGTGCATTAGTGCACAATGAAATATTTCACATATTCCGCCGGTGATTGCAATTGATATGTGTATAAAGAAAATCTGGAAAAACACAGTTGTATCAATATCTCTAGAAAACGTTTTAATATACTAGGAAAATAAGTGAAAAAGACTAAAAAAAAGCACCTATTCATAAAAAATAACGCTCGCTGTTCTGTGTCTGGGCCCTTCCAGACAACCGCAAAGCAGACCAGGAAGTGAGATAACTTTTGAAATAAATACTTTATAATGAAATGAACATGTGTATCATCGATAAGAGAGAAATAAAACACGATAATATGGATGTGTCAACATAACCGTTTTTCGAATTTTAAATAGATAAAATCAGGGCAAATTATGGACAAAGGGAATAATTATCTGGGGACCATTGAAAAAGCACAAGGAGAAATATGACCATGTATTCTGGAAGGGTAAGTGTATTCTACTTCATCGACGGCACCCTAACTACGAAATGTAACTCTGAATCACCTCCAGGATGTTTATTTTCATGTTTGCAAACATACATATATACGGAAAAGTTTAAACATTTCATGAAATAGCCAAGATAGAATTGAGGAGGAGTGACAACTGTTCGCAACAATGGAACCGCACACGCAGGCAGTGGGGCTTAGTTGAGATCAAATGAGTTTCAGTTCAAATTACAGGCAACAATCCTTAACATGATATAATATTAATATTTTCACCACCATGATATATAGTGTAACTAAAGTTAAACACTGGAGTTTGTTTCAACTGTATTTGTTTCAACTGTATTCGTTTCTGACAATATACAATATATAATATTTTCAAAACAAAATCAGTAACGATTCGGAAACAAGTACTAAGTACTTATACAATATCCGTTTCGGAAGGTTAGTTAGATATATCATTTAATCGTATTCAAAGTAAGTTTTAATGCACATTTTTTAAATGAATTTCGTAGAATGGCAGAAATGTTTAGGGAACATGTAGACAATGTATTACCATTGTTGATGAACATTAATAGCAGTGATACTCAAGTAAGAACTAACGCCTCAGAGTGATGAACGTCTATACATTAACAAACGTATGTTTGACTTAATGCACGCACTTTATAGGATTTCCACATCTTTTGCGCTCACACACACACACACACACAGTATGTATGTTATACTCACAACAAAAACATGTACATACATAGAAGAAAAAAAGATTATCATCTATTGTCAGTTAAAGATACCAATATAAGCTGCTTCCAGTAAATGTAAATCATATCATAACAAATTAGTTGTGGTATTGTGTGAAAGTGAAAACAGGTAAACCTGTCATGAAATATAGCTCGGACATATGAGTAAGTAATGAGTGCGATATAACCCGAACAATATAGGCAGCTTTTCAACAGAAAAAGAATGTGTTTCAGTAATACGTTCTACGATCGCACGCATTGAATGTAAACTGGAAGGGGGAAAAGGCTGTCAACGACGTTTATGCGGAGTTTGAAAACTTTATTGTCTCGGAATTGGATAGAGAATCCTCAAGGCCACCCGTTACGGATCCACGGCCTAGGCAAAGTAATACTTATTTTTGCAAACCGTATTGGAACGACGATCTGAAAACTGGGTGGGACAAAGTAAAGGCTGAAGAGAAAGTATGGCGAAACTCTGTTGGGTGGTGTTAAACATGCTTCCAAACATGTAGGTTGTCATGTAAGGAAAGTGTTTGATACATTTTTACGCAAGCATAAACGTAACTAGATGTACCAACTCCAAGGTGATTTAGCTCTCAAACTGCTAGCGGAACATTTGAGATATTTTTGGAAAGATATCGATAAATTTGGAATTTCAAATGAAAGGAAACATATTGTACCAATGGGAATTACGATTCCCAAGGAAATGTATGCACCGACACGCAGTCCGTGATCTCTTCTCGCCTGCCTCGGAAGCGGAATCGCAAACTTGACTTGGTGGATCAACAGCACGAACTAGGCACGGTCGACCTGAATAACGCTATCAACTACAAAAAAAATATTAAAAATGCTGTATCGCTCGTAAAACTAAATATAGCAACTGGAGTAGATGGAATTCCTTATGAAATCTTGAAATTCAATGCGTGTGTAGACATGCTCCTTTCTATTATCCGAGAATGTTTCAACACTGGCTCGACACCCGATCAAAGTGGAAAGCAGGGATGATAAATCCTACTGTAAGATACCTTTGACCTACCATGGAATACCTTTGTTGTCAACATCCTATAACATATACTCTGATGCTTCAAACCGACGTCTTACTTCATGATTAGAAAAATAGACTTGAAACCGATGACCAAAATGGTTTGCGCAATTACAGAGGATGTCCTAACATCCTTCATACCGTAATTCAAAAAATAAAAAATTCTATTCAAGCAAAATTTATTTGTTAATCTGATTTTATACATAAAGCAGACATTTCGTCAAAAAAGCTGACTTATGCGGTCAGGTAAACGGTTTTATTAAACTGGAGGAATTTATTAGGTTTATAAACCTTAGAAATGTATCAAATTGCGTGTAAAGTGACGCTGTTGTGATCTACCGTGATGGTCACGATACGTGTGGGAGTGATAGATGATACGGGACTGCTATCATACACCACACAACTGTATAATAGGTACATTTGTATTTG